AAGGGAATCCATTCGGAAGGGCCCGGCCGCAGGGACCCGTGCCGGGCGCGCCTCCTTCCAGGCCCGTTCCAGCCTCTGGTCTCTGCGCCGGCCGCCGGGCTGGTGCCGGGTCTGCGCGCTGGCGCACCTCGGGGTCCCAAACCGTGGCGTGCGCTCGGAACCCAACCCAGGGAGCCCTCCCTGCACCCGAGGTCGGTTTGCCCTGTGAGCTTAGGAGGCACACTCACTCCATTCAACAGACACCTGTGTGAGCGCTGGAGACAGCCACCAACGAGCCAGGGGGTGGCTCTCTGCTACCTTGGAGAGTGGACCTCGCCATCCACCCCAAACGACTTTCTACTCCGGTAAAGAGCTACAGTCTTGGAACTCCACGGGGCGATTCTTATAGAGTGGCTATGAGAACGCACGACTCCATGTCAGAGAGGTTGGGTTTTGGTTTCCGGAGGGAAGACATCACCCTGGGGTCGCTCTGTGTGGAAACCAACTGGGTGGCAGTGAGTTTTGGATGGGGAAGGAAGCGCCCTGAGGAGGCTGTTGGGTAACATTGGGCTGCTCACCATAGAGTCGGCAGTTCAAACCCATGAGCTGCTCTTGGGACGAAGATGAGGCTGGCTTCTCCTGTGTAGAGTTACTGTTGCAGAAATCCTATACATGGTCATGATCAGTCAGAATCTATTCGATGACAATGGATTTTTTTTTTTTGATCTGGGGAAGGAGTCTATGATCAAGAACAGATGCTACTGAAGGGAGAACTCCTAGATAACCAAAGGCTTTGTCGAAAAGCAAGGTTTCAGGAAGAGATGGGATACTGCCAACTGAGATGTTTCAACAAAAGGATGCAACACAGGAAGCCCCCCAAAATGGACAGACCGCTAGCTATTTGACTCACTAACTGGAAACAAACCATATCGGGCCCTCTTCCAAAGAAAGTTGATCCAACAGAATATAGAAATCATTGAAAATTCTGTTAACATTATACAAAAGTAAAATTATTACTGAAGATGATTCAAAACACATTTGTAGTAGTGATTAAAGACAGGCACTACCAGCAATTCAAGCCAGATTCAGAAGAGGACATGGAACTAGAAATATCACTGCTGACATCAGATGGATCTTGACTCAGCTCGGAGACTATCAAAAAGATGTTTACTTGTGTTTCAGTAACTTTGCAAAGGCATTCGGTGCGTGGATCATAACAAGCTATGAGTAATAGGGAGAAGAATGGGAATGCCAGAACACCTCATTGTGCTCACATGGAACTTTTTCATGGATCAAGAGGCAGTCATTTGCGCAGAACAGAGGAAGACTGCATGGTTTAACATGAGGAAGGTGTGCATCAGGGTTGCATCCTCTCACCAGACTTATCCGATCTGGATGCTGAGCAAAGAATCCCCGAAGCTGGATGATATGGAGAACAACAGAGGATCAAGACTGGAGGAAGGCCATGTGACAGCCTACACGATGGGATGACACACCTGGCTTGCTGAAAGCCAGGAGGACTTAGAGCGCTTACTGGTGACAATCAAAGACTACAGTATAGCTTCTACTTCAACTTAAAGAAACCCAAAGTGCTCACAAACGGAACATTAAGGAACATCTTGATAAAGGGAGAAAGACTGACCTTGTGAAGGATTTTATTTTATTAGGATCCACCTCCAATACCCACGGGAACAGCAGTCAAGAGATTAAATGATGTATGATGGTATAGGACAAATCGCTTTTAAAAGCTCTCTTTAAAGGGTGAAAAGGCAGAGATGTCACCCAAGGATGAAGGTGCGCCTGACTCATCCACGGTATTTTCAATGGCCTCCTCTACATGCGAAGCTGGACAATGGAGGCCCACAGGGAAGACGAGTGCTTTTAAATTACGGCGTGGATGAAGAATATTGAATGTAAAAAAAAAAGGTGATTTTCAAAACTTGCATGGAGTCCCCATCGCCTGTGAATAAGGTTAGCTTGCTGACACCTTAAAAAAAAAAAAAGAATATTGAATGTGCCTTGGACTTCGAGAAGAATGAGCAAATCTGTGTGGGAAGAAACACAGCCGGGATGCTCCTTAGAAGCAAAGATGGCATGACCTCACCTCACGTACTGCAGACACGGTATCAGGAGGGGACTAGCCCAGGAGAAGGGCAGCATGTGTGGTAAAGTAGAAGCTCAGTGGGTGGGATGGGCGGGGGCGGGGGTGGGGGTGGGTGGGCAGGAAGACCTTAAGGTCAGCAGTTCTCGAAACCACCCAGCCACTCTGCAGGAGAAAGAGGGCTTCCTACCCCTTAAAGAGTCACCTTCTGGGAAACTCACAGGGGTAGTTCTACTCTGTCCTACGGGGCACTGTGAGCCTGCATCACTCGGGCAGTGGATTTGGGTTAACGAGATCGGTTGACACAGTAAGTAGCTGCATTCCTAGTCTCAAGCCCAGCCGTGCTCAGACCTGGTTTCATTCTGTCATACTTGCTGCATGAGACGCGACTCACAAGAGTGATATGGGGAAGGCGGGGTCGCTGGGTGGCAGAGTGGTTTGTATTCCTCTGCTAACCTAAAGATGGGCTACTGGGTCCCACAGCGGTACACTGAGAAAAAGGATCTAATGGTCTTCTTCCTGAAAGATGAAGCAGTGTGGAACCCTTCAGCCCTGCCACACCTGGGTGTGCCATCTGGTCAGTGACAGGCTGCTGCTTCCTGAGCGAACGCACCATCTTCACCCAGCCCCCTCTGCTGCAGACAAATGGGCAACCGCCCGTTCCCACGCAAGCTTCCTGAAAGAGGGCCCTTCCTGAGGAAGTAGATGGGGGCTTTCCTCCCTGGGGCTGACCTTGGGAGCACAGCCCCACAGAGAGATTTCCCTCTCCCTGCCCCCCGGACTCGTGGGTCCCTGGGTGGTTGAAGCTCAGTCTTCCCACCGCAGGAGGCACCGACTCAGCAGAGAGAAGATGGACTCTTCCCGCTCTCTCCCGGGATTGTAGGACTAGAGTTGAAAGCTATTTAGTCCCAAATCTGCCTCCAACCCATGGGCCTCCCCCACCCCCTCCCCACAGCAGGTGGTTTTCCCAAATGCAAACCAAATGACTTCCCCCAAATCAGAGCAGACTGAGCCCTGGGAGGAGAAACGG